TAATTATGTCCCCACTGGATGCAACAAATGCCTCGTGTATAATGGGTTTTAATGTTTTTGAATCGTCGCTCCGGCCGGACAGGGCATCACAGTATGGTAAGGGGCTTAACATTTCCGTCACACGCTTGAGGTATTCGGCCAATCACAACGCACTGGATAGCTGGCCAATCAGAGCACACCTCGCTTTTCAGAACGATGAGCTTTGAAAAAAACGCGTTTCAGAAAGGTGGGGCATAGAGGACACACATACAGTATGTGGAAAATAATGTGTTTTTTGAACTTTAAACCGCATAAACACATTTCATTACACCAAATACACAAAATAATGTTCTTTTTAGCAACATCATATGACCCCTTTAAACATTTTAATATCAATTAAAATATTTGATATAAAACCAACATTGAGTAGTATTTCATCTCAAAATGATAAAATATTTCAGATTTCAGTGTTGTTAGCAGTTTCTGCATTTTCTTTCATTTTTGGAAACAAGTTTTTGGTTAACTGTTGATGAATTTGCATTGCAAATAAAAGTGACCATGTCATTGACATTTGCCTCACTCAAAACTACCATGTTATCAACAAGCTGAGGGTGGGGTGTGCCTAACGCACATATTTTCCTATTGTGCAATGTGAATTCTTTTTCTGCAGTGAAGATCACTGTCAGTATTATAAAAATGAGATACATTTTTTTCTGATACAAATAGTAAATATTCTGAAAAGTATTTTTTGGCAGCTATTTTTTGATGCCCAAACATTTTGGCTTATACATCTCATATGGGGGTCTTTTTATTTTTAATTTAATAGTTTTTAATTAGCAACAGTAACAATAAATTAAACCACTTTACCATTATATTTATAAACACACACGGGCCCTTGGAATTGTCCTAACCTTACCACTGTTACGGCGCCCCTGTATACAGTCACCATATTGTTCAAAAGTTTGGGGTCGGTAAGATTTTAACGTTTTTAAAAGAAGTCTCATGCATTTATTTGATCAAAAATACTGTAAAATATTACAATTTAAAATAACTTTTCTATGAGTTATGACAATAATAATCTGCTAATGAATTGTGAAATGTGTCTTCCAGACTCTACTAGAATTTTAAAAGCATTTTATTTATTTCAAAAAATGACAGAATTACCAAAAATAGCCACAGCGTCTGCATCAAGGCATGTTAGAATTTGCCACTGCCAAGACTCAGCATGGAACGAGGCACTCTGATGAATGAAGGAGTGAATACAGACAGCCAGGACACATAGGGTACTTGCGAAATGAGGAACTTCAGAGAGGTGTAGTCCACTACACTGCGACCTGAAACAACAAGGAACACATAAAAACCCTGTGTCGGATTTCATTTTGTAACATCTACATGTACAGTGGGTATAGAAAAGAATCACCCCCCTTTGAAATAATCACATTTTGTTGCTTTGCAGCCTGAAATGAAGACGGACACGGTTTTTGTTTTATCCAGCTGTATTTACTCAGTGCAACTTATAACATCCAAGTGAATGATATAACACCAACATGTCAGAAAAAATAGCCTTTAGTCTGTTGGGATTTGTCTCTACTAACTTTTGTAGCGTCTGGACCAATCAGACACACAATTTGTTTAGTTATATTTAACAAATACTCTGTAGCACCCCTCAGTCAACAAACCAACTATGAGGGTCTATGGACCCTTCCCCCGAAATGCATCTAACACCTCAGAAAGGCAGAACAGGCCTCTGGTTCCATGGCAACCAATGCTGATATCACTGGTTTTATTGCCCAAAGGAATGCGGGCAGAGAAACTCACAATTCATTTACCCATAGGAAAGACACACAATGCCCATAAAAATGGACTCTTCTCTTATTAATTCATAGAAAAACCTTTCTGTGAATGAACACACATCTCCTCAGGACATTGTGCATACCATTACTGTTCTTGTATATTGTCTTTTGAATTGTATACTATTTTGTGTGTGTGTTATGATAGATCACTAGTTAATATAACCCGATACCATGTTTGGTCTCGGTCATTGTCATGTTGGAAGGTAAACCTTTTCCTTCTATCCTGACAAGTGCTCTAGTCCCTGAGGCCAAATAATTAAATTTTAGTCTCATCTGCCTCAGAATCTTCAAGGTGAGTTTTGGCGAAGCTCAGTCGTGACTGCATGTGGCCTTTCTTGAGGAGTGGCTTTTTTGTCCATACAAGCCATATTTGTGGAGAATTTGTGATGTTGTCATATGCACACAATGACCACTCTTTGTCATAAATTCCTGCAACTGCTTCAGAATTATTTTTCTATACCCACTGTAAGCATCTTTGATCATAACAGGAAGCACCATCACTCCTACATAAACATTTGTCACCGTACCATCAACATCCTTGAGTCCATAGCGGTGAGCGAGGTCACAGGTCATCAACACTTGCCCAGTCATTGACATCAGACTTTTATCTGTTTGTCACCAAGAAGCATAAAGTAGCACATCAGCAAGAGCCTCCAGACAATTCATAATAATTCATGACCATTTTACCTTTAAACAGATGAAAGTGAATTTACTTACTTTTTCTGTTAAACACAAAACAAGATATTTGAAGAATGTTGGCAACCAAACAGTTGCTGGTAGGTATTGAATTCCATAGTATTTTTTCCATACTATGGAAGTCAATGGTTACCAGCAACTGTTTGATACCAGCATTCTTCAAAATATTTTCTTTTGTGTTCAACAGAAGACAAAATTCATACAGGTTTGGAACAACTTGAGGTTGAGTAAATGATGACAGAATTTTTATTTTTGGGTGAACTGAACTACTCATTCAGTCTGTAAAATACCCAACCTTTGGCCAGCTCAACTATGCATCGTCCACTAAACTCCGTCGTTTCACCTTTACTGAACATTTCCTTGAACTGAGAAAGACAAGATTGTAAACAGATATTTAGCAAAATATATTTGTTATATCATAATCACACCTGTTCTCTATGAACGTACAAAGCAATGCTAATTAAGGGCTGAGACAAATAAAAGTGGCTTACTTTTGGATCAAATCCTAGAGGACCCTCACCACGAGACATATACTGATTAATTAACTCAGTCTGAACTGCCCCTGGCCAGAGGCTTACAGAAACCACACCTTTCTTCTTCAGCTCTATTGCCATGTCTGCTGCCATTCTGTCACACTGAAGCAGCAAAATAAAGTCAAAGCATAAATGAACAATGAAGAATAATGAAGGAATAGTCTACAAACAAATAAAAAATGGAAGTGGCATTCTGTGCATCTGAAATTATCTATATTTCAAACATGATATACTGAAAATGACTTCAAATATATAATTAAAATGCCGTGTGCACGGACTCACTGCAGCTCACTGCAGCTTTGCCGACCCCATAGGATACATTAAAGAGATAGCGCAGACCACCCATGGATGATATGAACACAATCAAGCCTTTGCCCTGAGCCACCATCATCCGAGCAGCATACACTGAGCAGAAATAGTGACCCCTGTGAAAACAGTCAATTAATTAATTACTATGAATATTTTCATTTGGAGTCACCTCCAGATTTGTACTGTACCTGAGTCCAGTGTTGTTGATTGTGTCCCAAACATCTGGATCCACCTCCCAGAATTTCTTGTTCAAGTTGTCCATAATAGCCTAACTCAGAGACACAAACACTACATTGGTAAAAGTTATTTTATGAAACATTCAAAAGTAAAATATTTCAAATCAAATATGCAGAAAAAAAACTGTGTTTTTGTTCCATAACTAGTTGTGACTAACCTGTACACCTGCATAGGCATTATTCACCAACAAGTCAAGTCTGCCGTTTTGCTCACGCTGGATACGTTCAAACAGTTCCTTGATTTCATCCTCTTTAGATGAGTCACAGACCACTGGGAGACATCGGCCACCTCTCTCGGTCACCTGTCATCATGAAAATAAAAGAAGCATGAAACCAACATCACCTCCTATAAGTTGAGGGTTATTAACGGTACAACCAGGAGACAGTTTCCACACCTCAGCTGCTGTCTGCTTCAGAGTTTTCTCCTGTCAACCGGTGATGTACACTGTAGCGCCAGCCTTGGATAACTGAAGGGCAATACCTCTTCCAATTCCTCTGGAAGCACCAGTCACCACACAGATCCATCCTGATAGTGCCATCTGACAAACACACACAAACACAAATTGATGCCAGCAAAATTGATGTCTGATCTTTAGATTTAGATCATTGAATTGGTTCACACTCAGTTAAAATGATTTGTTTAAAAATCTACCCAAGCAGTTCTTGAGTCAACAACTCACTGACTCACCTAAAAAAATGGCCAGATACTGGCACCCACAGAAAAACATGATATTTTCCTTTAACTTTAACCAATTAAATTAATAAATCAATAAATAAATAATAGAGCGATTCGGCTACATCTCTGATTGGTGGATCTCACATCATGTCCCTGCAGGTATGGTGCTTTAGAGCAGTGTTTCCCAACCTTTTTTTAGTCGCGGCACCCTTTGGAAATTTTAACAAATTTGTGGCACCCTACAAGATTTATTTTGTCACAATATTTGACAGACGGCACCCCGGTTGGGAAACACTGCTTTAGAGTGTCTAATTAATGGAGTTTCATTCGGCCTGTTCCCCAAATCAGCCAGTAATCTCAAAAAATGCAAACGTTGAATCAGACTTGTCGTTATTTATGATTTTGACCTTTGTTAATTTCATACTTATGTGATTTTGTGATGTTTTCAACATTAAATAAAAAGATTGTATGGATAAAATGTAAGCGTTGGGGCCAGGGCCATATGGGCTATGAGGGGACACCGGTGCAGGTTGTAGCTGTGGGCCCCTAGAATCGTCACCACCTTTCTCCCTGCTAAAGACGGCCCTGGTTTAGGCAGCTTTCATTGTCATTAAATAAAACGTGTTTTTAGCAGGAGCGTAAATTTCATCTAACAGTTGGGGGGGGTTTCCTGGGAATTGGTCTACTTTATCACTATTGCCGCGGGTTGTTTTTCATGTCCGCGGGTTGTAGCGACCCCAATAACGTGTATTTTTACCCCCTGGAACACTTTTTTTTTTTTTTTTACCGGGGGACCCCCTCGAAACGCAGTTAGTTTGGGCTAATTTTGAGTAGCAATTGGGCAGGTTTTGTTGTGAAAACCTGTTAACCCTTTCCGTCAAGCAGGTAACGTTATTATTGCTAACCAGTGTTTGGCAGTAACTGCGCGTTCACACCGCCGCCGTCGAGAGCGTCAAAAATCGCTCTGGCCGCCCTGACAAGAACGCTGTAGACAGATTTGTGGACGCTCTGACGTAGATCGAATGCTTATCTTGTATTTAAAGGGGTCGCAAACACGCGTATTGATCTTGTGCAGACTGACCACAAGGAGGGTAACGTTAAGTTAACCTCATTAAATATTGTTGTTGACGAAGTATTAAGATCCTTTACCTCATAATGTATAAAGCACTAATACCACACTGTAAAAATACTCTGATACAAGTAAAAGTCCTGCATTGAAAATTTTACTTAAGTATAATCAGGTATAAACATTACTTCATGTAAGTATAATCAGGAAAATTGATGTAAAGGTTTAAAAGTGAACTGGGACTATTATACTATTATTTATTATGTCATTAGATTATTAGTATAAGTAGTCCTCATGTTGCCATTGTCTCTGGTCGTGTATTGATGTTGTAACCCACTGTCGGTGAGTCTAGTCTGTTATGCCTCGTCAAGGCTGTGTCTCTAGTCTTCGTCTGTTTGGATTATGTTTGGATGTTTGGATTTCACCTTGTTTTGAATAAACTGCACTTGGGTTCTTCACTACGCTCGCCTTCAGTGGACTAATTCGTTACAGAATACATCTTCATCACTAGCTGCTACTCAAAACATTGGTTATTTGCATGATCAGAATTACATTTTTTTTTTTTTTTTTATTGCAACCCTAATAATACCAAATTGTGAAGGTTCCAATGTCATCAAATATGAAACATTTAATATAAATTAAAATATTTGATCAAATTTACATTTTGCGTAGTATTTGAACTCAAAATGATAAAATATTTCAATGTTATCAGCAGGTGCTGCATTTTCTTCCATTTTTGCAAACAAGTTTTTGGTTAACTGTTGATGAATTGCATTACAAATAAAAGTGACAATGTCATTGACATTTACAAAACCACCCTGTTATCAACAAGCTCAAGACTGGGTGTGCCTTATACACATATTTTCCTCTTGTGCAATGTAAATTATTTTTTGCAATGAAGATCACTGTCAGTATTAGCATAATGAGTTGAAATTTGTTCTGATGAAAATAGTAAGTATACTGAAATTTAGTTTTTGACAGCATATTTTTGATGCCCAAACTTTGTGGCTTATACATTTCATATACTGGGGGTCTTCTTATTTTTAATTGATTAGTTTTTAATTAGCAATAGAAGCAAGAAATTAAACCGCTTTACCTTTAAATTTATAAACACACACATGTGCTAGACAGTAATGGCAATGTTATAGCCAGCTAAATGACTTTATCTTGGTGGCATATTTAAAAGAATTGAATAAAAATGCATGTACATGATCAACACATGTAAGATGTAGTGACAGTGCAGATTACAAATTGAAAAAAAACAACAAAAAACAATAATTTGCAACATTTGGTCCAAAACATCTCTCTGGCCCTGGGTCGTTCTTCTCATCAAGTCCGGTATTAGATCATATAAGGGGTTAGTCAGAACTGCACTAGCTAATTCACTCTATCAGTGTATTCTTCCTGCATGAGATGTAAAATAACCCAGTTAAAGTGAGAGTTGGGCAATAACGGACTGGTGTACTTTTCGTATATAAAGCACACAAGCTCATGAGCTCCAGTGTTACTGTGAGATTACTTTCACACACAGTAATGGGGTGGATAGAGAATCTCCTGATTTGTTCTTTCTTTGTGTCAATTTACCTGCTGACACAGGCTGAATGTGGTAAGAATGTGGCTGAATGTGGATTTTTCTGTCTGTTTTTTTTCTGACAAGAGAAGGAATGATTGTCTGATATGATATTTTGATTGTGATTTAGGTCCTGTGGATGCAGCCTCAGCTAGGAGTGATGAAAAAGATGCTCCAATTGTGGTAGGTTTCCGACATGTTTTTTTCAGATATGACTTCTTGCAGTCATACTATGATTTCAAATAGGGTCTATACTTGAATCAGTATACAAATAAACTGTTTAAAAGATGATTAAATGGCTTTTATTCTCTCCAAGGCTGCATTTATTTGATCAAAAATATTGTAAAACAGTAATATTGTGATATATTTTTACATTTTAAAATAACTTTTTTCTATTTTAATGCATTTTAAAATATAATTTATTCTTATGATGGCAGCACTGAATTTTCAGCAGCCACTACAGTCTTCAATGTCACATGATCCTCATGAAATAATTTTAATATGCTGATTTGGTGCTTAAGAAATAGTTCTTATTATTATCATTGTTGAAAACAGTTGTGCTGCTTACTATTTTTTATTTTAGATATTTTATTTTATTTTATTTTTTTTGTGGAAACTGTTAATGTTCTAAATATCTTTACTGTCACTTTTGATCAATTTATTAATGCATGCTTGCTAAATATAAAATATGAATTTCTTTCAAAAACATTACTTGACTTTTGAATGGTAGTGTACATGAGAAGTTTATCTTGTGTTTCTAAAACAAAACTGTGCAGCTTTGATAAATTAAGCTAAATAATTATAGCATTAGAAAATGTTATATTTATATTGTAATGTCTTTCACAGTGCAAAAACTCTAAAGTGAAATTTTCCGCACATTTTAGGCACACAGGGATTTCACAAGAGAAAGAAGAGCCATAGAGGTGTGACTGTTTTTTAATCTTTGTTGTTTTTTTGTGTTTTTACCATTGCATTTTCATTTTACATGCATGCACTTTTAAATGTACTTAATGTTGTTTTTAAATACATTTTCATTATCTTTCTGTAATCTACTAAGGACTGTTCAGGTATGTGAATTATATTTTTCTTTATTATATTTTATTCAGAGCCATTTTATTCAGATATTAAAATTAGATTCTGATATGAAAATGTGGCGTTTCAACTTCAACCAGTTCTACCATAGCTTGAGGTTTACAACCTAGTAAAACATTGTACAACTTGATTAGAAGGAGTTAGTCTTATGAATATTTTTATTTAATAAAAATCTCAGGCACAATGTTTAGATCATCTGTACTTCTTTAGGCCTCCGGAAGGATCTTGATGACATGAAGATTAAATGTAGGGATTCGTATAAAATAGCGAAGGACAATATCGATCGTGAGTCAACCTATCTTCATTCTACACCAATCTAAAAGTATATATCTTAACCATGCAGTTCCATCTTGGACTCATACTCATCAAAAATGTTTATATTGGTGGACATGTTTGCAGGTCTTAAAAGCCAGCTGGATGGTCTTTTTAAACAAGTCAGTACCACCCAGAATCCAGCCAAGGATGGTATGTGGAAAATACTGATACCGGTGAACATAGCTGCTTTATAAATAAATATAGAATTCACGGGGAAATTTAGATTTATCCATTTTTTCTCTAACATATAATGATTAGCAAAAAGACAATGGTTGACACTTTTTACCCTTGTGTTCCACCCATTCAGTCTTAAACATTCTCCAGAAAGTCATCGACCTACAGGAGATGGATGCAGTATTAATCACTGAGAGAGATGCCGCAAAGATTGAAAGTGTGTTGCAACAATATTATTTTTATTATTAACTTTAATATTATCTCAATATTCCATGTATATTCACACAGTTTTTATATAACAATCAACAGGACTGGACAAGCGTCGGAAGGAAGCAGAGAGCGACTTAGCAGAGATGAAGACAGGATTTTCAGGAAGTGTTGAAATTTTAGAGCGGGCAGGTAGAGATACACCCCTGTGCATGGAGCAATACCACACTGACACTGTGTTTTGAGCCCTTGCTCAATTCTTAACCAAAGGAAATCGAAGTAATTGTTTGTTAATTTTTCTTCATCTAGTTTCAAAGATAAACGCAGAGACGTTGAAAAGCGATAAGGCGACATCAACACCTCTTAATGGTGTGTATGACCAAAAAAGGTCACTTTTGATTTATATCATCCAAATCCTCTGTCCAACTGTATCATCATCAGTGAATACATAAAATGTGTAATGAAACC